TCCATGTGTGATGAGAGCTTCAGGACCGGTCTTCTCTGTAAAAGGCATATGAAGAAAGAGCACGGTGTTCAGGATTACAGTAAGGATGGCAAAACAATGTTTGCATGGCACTTTCTTCTATGTTTCTGTAGTAATATTTACATCTTCTCATTTCTCAGTAGTTTAGAAATCAAAGTAGATGTATCAAGTTACATTAGTGTTTGGAAAATGTTTTGGATTTTTTTCTCCTGCTTGTTGGGTTGCGGGGCAGCAGCCTAAGCAGAGATACCCAGACTTCCCTCTCCCCAGCCACTTGGGCCAGCTCGTCTAGGGTAATCCCAAGGCATTCCTAGGCCAGCCGAGAAACAAAGTCCCTCCAGCGTGTCCTGGGTATTTCTCTGGATCTCCTCCCAGTGGGACGTGCCTGTAATACCTCACCAGCGAGGCATCCAGGAGGCATCCTAACAAGATGTCAGAGCCACCTCAACAGGCTCCTCTCGACGTGGAGGAGCAGCGGAGCCCCTCCCGGTTGACCGAGCTTCTCACCCTATCTCTAAGGGAGAGCCCAGACACCCTACGGAGGAAACTCATTTCGGCTTCTTGTATCCGACCATAGACAAGGGTAGGAACGTAGACCGACTGGTAAATCGAGAGCTTCGCCTTCTGGCTCAGCTCTCGCTTCACCGCTACGGACCGGTACATCGCCCGCATCAATGTAGATGCAGCACCAATCCGCCTGTCGATCTCCCGCTCCATTCTTCCCTCATTTGTAAACAAGACCCAGAGATACTTAAACTCCTCCACTTGGRGCAGAACACCCCCCCCCCCCCGACCTGGAAAAGGCACCCTACCCTTTTCCGGCTCAAGACCATGGTCTTTGATTTGGAGGCACTGATCCTCATCTCGGCCGCTTCACCCTCGGCAGCGAATAGCTCCAATGAGCGCTGGATATCATGATCTGATTAAACCAATAGGACCACATCATCCTCAAAAGCAGAGATGCAATCCTTAAGTCACCAAAACAGATCCCCTCAACACCTTGGTTGTGCCTAGAAATTCTGTCCATAAAAGTTATGAACAAAATCTGTGACAAAGGGAAACCTTGGCGGAGTCCAACTGTCACTGGAAACAAGTCCGACTTACTACCGGCAATGCAGACCAAACTCTGACACTGGTTGTACAGGGACCTAACAGCCCATATCAAAGGGCTTGGTACCCAGTATACTCCCAGATTTCCCCCCACCACTGGACTCCCAGAGGGACACAGTTGAACGCCTTCTCCAAGTCTACAAAACACATGCAGACTGGTTGGGCGAACTCCCATGCACCCTCCAGGACBCTGCTGAGGGTGTAGAGCTGGTCCAGTGTTCCACTACCAGGATGAAAACCACACTGCTCTTCCCGAATCCGAGATTCGACTATCCAACGGACCTCTGAATAGACCTTACCAGGGAGGCTTAGAAGTATGATCCCCCTATAGCTGGAACACACTCTGCGGTCCCCTTTTTTAAATTAGTGTCCACCACCCTGGTCTGCCAATCCAGGGGACCTGCCCCCGATGTCCACGCAATATTGTAGAGTCACGTCAACCAACGCAACCCCACAACATCCAGAGCCTTAAGGAACTCCAGGCAAATCTCGTACACCCTCGGTGCCATGCCACTAAGGAGCTTTTTAACCACCTCCGACCCAGGGTCCCCAGACTCTGCTTCCTCATGGGAAGATGTGTCGATGCAAAAGAGGTGGGAGGAGAAGAAAAGAGATTATGAGGCTCTGAAGCTGTGTCTCCCCAGGTGTGCATTCGCCTCCACCACCGCAGCTCCGCCGCCACAGCGTCAAACCTTCGCTCAGGCAGTGGCACGCTTGCCCCCCACCTTTAGGATCCCAAAATTGGCAAAGGTGCAGGGAGCCCTACAAGCGCCGCAAAAACCCTCCAAAGTCCCATGGCAAAGGAAGCCTGAGGCCCCATGCCCCAACAATCGCCGCCACCCACCTCCACTCAGGTGGCCAGGAGGAGGAAACGGCTGGCCTGGCATCCTCCATGGATGGAGGGAATGAACTGAAATCTTTTCCCTCCACGGTTCTGTTCAGAGGGTTCAGCAAAGTTCCGTGCGTGCCCGAGAGGATGTTCAAGCCTGCTCAGCGCGCCACGAAGTTCACAGCACTCGATGTTCATGAGGAACCCCTCAGCGGCCCTCAACAGTGTCACACAAGCACATTAATCTTCTGTCAAAGAGAAATAAATGTTTGCAAACTCTCGCATCCAGGCTACGAGCTGAGGGTGCAGTTAAAAATGTTGAAAAACATAAACATGAGCCAATTTGGGGATTTAGTCCTTCCTTTTTCGAAAGGAGTAAGACTTTTCCCCGAATCGGACAGAACTGTCAAAAGCCAAAATCCACGCGCATGTGCACTGCAAGCCGAAACCTTTTCCAACCCAGAGTCGCTAGAGGGCAGTCTTTGCTTGTGTTTAACAAACTGGTTGGCTAGCTGCCTGACAGTGAAAGCAGAAAAGTGGACAGAATGCACAAACTCCGAGTGGGTTTTGAAAACAATAAAAAGAGGATACAGGCTACAGTTTGCAGTGCCAATGGGGATTGTACACAGGAAGGTTATCACAACAAATGCTTCCCTGACAAGATGGGGAGGTATTTGCAAAGTTAAAACTGTGACTGGGTCTTGGAACCCAAAAATGCAGTCATCCCACATAAATTTTTGGAGCTGCTAGCCGTTCAGCTAACATTAAAACACTTCCTTCCTCTCCTAGAAGGACACCATGTGTTGGTCAGAACAGACAACACCACTGTGGTGGCTTGTATCAACAGGCAGGGGGCCTGAGATCACTGAGGCTTCAGACACTGGCCCACAAACTGATCATCTGGAGCAGCAGACATTTCCTGTCTCTGAGGGCCACTCATGTTCCTGGAGTGCTGAACTGTGGAGAAGATCTTCTCTCCAGGGGGAACCCTCTGTATGCAGGGTGGAAACGCCATCCAGAAGTGGTCAGGCTGGTCTGTCAGAGGTTCAGACAGCCATCAGTGGACCTTTTTGCCTCACAAGAGAACAATCAGTGCCCCCTGTTCTTCTCCCTGCACAACCAGAATGCACCACTGGGGGGGTGGATGCACTCACCCACAGGTAACTTTGGTGAGATGAGATCTATGGGAGGAAAAGCATAAAGCAGGTCCCGAAGCCACCTGTGGATGCACTCACCCACAGGTGGCTTCGGCTCCTGCTTTATGCTTTTCCTCCCATAGCTCTCATCTCACCAAAGTTAGCCAGGGTGAGGTCAGAAGGCCTGTCAATGATTCTCATTGCACCTCATTGGCCATCAAAACACTGGTTAGCAGAGATAACTCAGCTTCTCTGTGAGGAGCCTTGGCCTCTGCCTGCATGCAAAGACCTGCTGTCTCAGGCGTGGGGACAAATCTTTCACCCCCACCCAGAAAGGCTGGCTCTGTGGGCCTGGCCCATGAGTGGTTCAACCTTCAATCCACAGGGCTCCCACAGAATGTGATTGAGACCATACAGAATGCAAGGGCACCTGCAACAAGATCCCTGAATGAGTGCAAACGGTTCATTTTTGAGAAAAGGTGGTTTGCTCAGAGACATTCACACCAGTTGCCTGCTGGATGTCACTTTGTAGGGGTCTGACAGTACTCATCCTGTCCTTCCTTACACCAAAAGCAGACACTGATCCATTTTGACGTCCTTGTCATGTTCTCCGAGAGTAAATGCCTGTCTCCTGAAATTTCCTCAATGCACTTGAAACTAGGGGTGTAAATCACCAGCTTCATCACAATACAATATTACATTGATATGTTTGGATGACTATTTGATATTTCTCGGTCTCACGAAATCTGTCACAATATGATTTCAATTCACGTCTGTGATCGATATAATGCGATATCATTTGCCCATCTAACACAATTACTGTGTTAGATGGGCATATGATATTGATTCAAGCATATGATGAAGATATAGATCAATATTTTCATTTTGCCTCGATATAACTCAATCATGCACTATTCATATCGATATATCAATATAGATCGATGTATTGTTACACCCCAACTTGAAACTATGCTGGGAGACACAGCAAACCTAGCATTCTTTATTATAGCTCATTCTCATTAATTATATTTTACATTACAAAATGTATACATATACTGTATATTGATTTGGACACTGACCTCAGTCAAATGCAAAACTACAGAAAACAATAAAATAAAGTAATGAGGACGGGGAAAATGTCTGCAGACTCCAGCTTTAAAGCCATTTCTGTTTTTGTATGTTGTAAATGTCATTAACACCAAAGCAGCTGACATTGATTAACAACTCCTTCTTGTACTTTGTATCTCTTTTAATAAAAAAAACTTTAAATGCATCCCCTCAGATTTATTTGGCTTGCATTAGGCGTAGCAAAAAGATACTTTACTATTTAAAACAGAGGAGCCCAAAGTGGGGCCCGCGGGCCAAATTTGGCCCGCCAAGCCATTTGATTTGGCCCACCAACAGTTGCCAAAGTTACAAGGTTGTAACCTGTTATCCTATAGGTAGAAACACAGTGTTTCCACTGGTCAAATGACTATATAAAAGGGCTGTAGTGAAGGTAGTTTTCAGTCATGGTGCTGACATATCTTTGATTTATTAGGATTAAACAAGAAACATGAAATGACAACAAGAAATATTTAGATCAGATTTAACCCCGCATGTAGATTTGCACACTTTATAAGGCCACAAAAACTCATATTTTATCAATTTATGAGATGTCCCATGAGGCTTTGCTACTTGAGCGTATGGCAGACTTTCTCCAAGTGCACAGACTAAAACAAAAGAGGGCCATTGCATAGCTTAATGGTTAAAAATAAAGGACTTTACTTTAAAAAAAGTATTTGTATTTCATGTATTATATAACTGCATTTGGCCCGCAGCCATGGATAGATTTTCATTCTGGCCCCCTCGGGGAAAATGTTTGGGCACCCCTGATTTAAAATAACAAATCTATATACTTTTTGCAGCTATAGGACTGGATGGTACAGAAGGGGAAGAGGAGGAGGAGGATGTAGAAGGGGATCAGAAAACATTGAAGAGGAGAAGTTTGGAAATCATCACCTTCACTGAAGAACAGACAGCGGAGCTAGCCAAAGACCCTGGAGAAGAGGCATCAGTGTCGGAGCGGATCCTCTCTCAGTCAGCGGCTGAGAGAGATCGGATCAGCGAGATCAAAGACAAAGCTGTGGAGCTGGAAACAGAGCCCAAGTTTGCCAACTGCTGTAATTACTGCCCCAAAAGCTTCAAGAAGCCCAGCGACCTTGTCAGGTGAATGCTAATATCTTTTTATTGATAGCTTATGAAGAAAGTCTTTACCTTGGAGTAATATTCCTAATGAAAATTTGAATGAGCTAGTAGTCTACATCGAACTGGGCCTCTCACTGATTCTGTTTGGTGATATTAATTTGGAACAGCTAACCTCAGTCACAGGATATGAAAGTTCAGTGGAGAATAATTAGAAATAATTAAACTCTTTGACAGTCATCTCTTATTTCTTACATTGGTATCAGATGTCACCTTCGTGTCAAATACGAGCTGTGAATAGAGAAAATCAGCTGTGAAAGTCAATTTGCTGCTCAAAATCAGAGAAACAACATTGCGTTTAAAGAGTTTTTGATAGTTTTTCTAAAAAGTTTGTTACTTATTACAAATAAAAGTCATTTCATACCAGCTTTAGTCAGATCTACACCACTCAGCCAAAACCATTACTCTGCTCTTATTGGTAATGAGTTTCTCTGGTAGTTTTACCTTTTAAAATCTCCAATGTGACATGACGAAAGGCTGCGTTTTAAGGTTTTAGCTGTAGTTTAGAAAGAAACACATTAACTGAAAAGGAAACCTTATGCTCAGAACGTAGCCATTATTCTAATTCAGTGTCAAGCTTTAGTGAGTCCTTTAGTAGTGTAAGCAGCTGAAACAAAAAATGAGTTAATTGAATCTGTCTTGCTTGAATTAGCCTGTCTCTTCAAACTTCATCTGTTACAAAAGGACAACTGATATTACCAACTTTTAAAAACTGTTACGGCCAGAGGTCTTTCTTCTATGTTTATACTAAAGCATGGAATGACGTTCCTCAAAACATAAAGTCCATTTCAAAACTACAGCCCTTTAAGAAGAATCTTGTCTGCTATCTGCTGGACACTTTCTGTTGCGCTCATATTTAGACGTCTTATTTTGCAAATGCTGCCTTCCTGAAATTTGGTATGCTTGTTTGTCTTTGTGTCTATGGTGTATAATGATGTGATTGTGATGCTGTAATTCAGAGTGTTTTATGTGCTGCAGAACAGGAACCTGCTGTAAAACAGCAATTATGCTGAGTCAGGCTTGATTTTTAATAATMTTTTCCTGTTAATTAAATAAATCAAATCAAATCAAATCACACTCTCCTTAAAAGGTAAGGTAAGGTAAGGTTGTGACAAACAAGCTGAATTTGTACAGTCGTAGCAAAAAATAAGTAGGCTTTACACATCAGGTCATTAAGGTTTTCTAAATCTCAAAGGCACAGTTCAGCAAATTTGAAGTGAACAAGTTCCAAATAATTAATATCTTATTAGTATGTCTCTGTTTTAGATAGTTCATTGAATGACCTCAGTTTGTGGAATGAATTTTCTGTTTGACAGGACTGATGAGCTAATGGCTGGTCTGAGCTGGGCCAGAACCAGAGCGGATTCATCTCTAAAAGATTTTAACGGTTCACACAAGTGCTATTTCCTAAAAATCACAATGAGTTCTAAATCTGTTGATACTTGCAAGTCCAAATAGTGTCAGTAGCATCTAGCTGTAGTTTTTGCAGAAATTGTATGTTTTTGCAGTGCAAAGATGACAGCAGTGTACAGGGTTGTAGAATATAATTTACACAAAGCATTTTGAGTTGTTTTAAGTTGGCAAAGTCTACTTGAATGTGGGTTTTCTTGAACTGCATTTACTAGCTAACAAGAGGTTTGAGCAGATGCACTTCCAAAGCAGATCAATCAATCAAATTTTATTTATATAGCCCTTTACAACAGTGACTACTGAACCAAAGTGCTTTCCATTAGTTCAGCAATAAGAAATGAAGAATAAAAGCCAACAATATTATTAGAAAAATAAAAACAGTGCACTACAGTGTGCAGTTCTAAACAAATGTGTCTTCAGCTTAGCTTTGAACAAAAATAGGTTATTGACCACGCGCAACTCAAATGGTAAACAATTCCATAGTTTTGGACCAGCTACAGCAAATGAACAATCACCCTACTCTTTGGACTTTGATCTATATAGACTTTCAAAAATGTTGGTCAGCTGACTGAAGAGCTCTAACTGGACAATGTGCTTGTAAAAGATCACAAATAAGAAGGTATCAGCTTTAAAAACAAACATAAGTTTAAAATCAACATAAACGAACTGGGAGCCAATGAAAGGAGTAAAGTACAGGCATGATGTGATCTTGCCTTCTTAACAGAACTTCTATTTTCAAAGATCCCAAAGTTGTTCCCAGGCCAGCCAAAATATTCAGGGTGTATTCACACCAGGAAAGTCCTTTAGTCCACTTGTTTGATCTGAACCAAAAGTGGACTTCATTTTTTTTGTTTGGTGCGGTTTGCATTCACATTGTGCTTTTTTGTAAACAAACTATAACTTGTAAACAAAGCCACAAGGGTGACGATCATTGCTCCCATTAGACAGAAAGGTCGGGGGAGGGACTGAGCGCACAGACCCAGAAAGAAACATGGAAGTCCTGTGTGCTGCAGTTCTGATGTGCACATTTGTGCTGATAGTACAACTGCAATACCATTTATAAAATGTCAAAGCGGCTAATTCAATGGTGGTTTTGTGATGATATTCTAATTTTGGAGCGACGTTAGTAAATGTGTGCTGCAACCCAAAGGAGATGAGGTGCTCTGCGTGTTCTGACCCACAACATCAGGCATGTCCAACTCTGGTCCTCAAGGGCCGGTCTCCTGCAAGTTTTAGATTTGTCCCTGCTTCAACACAGCTGATACAAATAGATGATTAACCTTCTCAGTTTGCCATCAAGGTATGCAGAGGCCCACTCATTAGGCACTCCTTAGGTTCAGCTGTGTTGAACTAGGGCAGCACCTAAAACATGCAGGACACCGGCCTTTGAGGACCAACTTTGGACACCACTGCACTACATGCTGGCAGCTGAGCTGCTAAGCAGGAGACGACAAATCAAGTAGGATTTTGGTTTATTTAGCTTAGCAATGGTGGCCCGTGAAGTCCAAAAAGGCGCATGTTTTTCATAATTGGTTTGGTTTGAGTCCGTTCTGAATTCACACCAGAAGCGAACCACACCAGAGTTCGTTTGGAAGCAGACCAAGTCCACCTCAAAAAACAGGTCTCGGTCCAGTTGTTTGATCCGCACCAAAGTTTGCATGAGTGTATTCACACCTGCACAAAAGGTCCGGACCAACGGGGGAAACAAACTCTGGTCTGTTTAAAACAGACCAAATGTGTCAGGTGTGAATACACCCATAGTCTCTCCAACACGTCCTGGGTCTTCATTGGGGTCTCCTCCCAGTTGGACATGCTCGGAACACTTCCCTTTCAGGCTTTCAGAAACTGTTTCTAGAAAAGCAATTAAATGTTCAAAGAAAAACTTGGAAAATCTTTCAGATTTACCACATTGTTCAAGACATTAAATTAATATAGGAAAGTCTGGTTGTTAGGAAGCAAAACATAAAGAAATAAGAGAAGACGGGACGGTTCTTCTCATTTCAGTATTTAAAATTAATGCTACTATCATTTGGTCAGTCAGCTTTTTGTTTTTACATTATTATTATCAGTTCAAAACAAATGAGCCTTTTTCCTTTCCATTAAATGTATTAATTTAAGATTCTTTATTAGACACAAAACTGTCTGCAGCACCTATCTATTTGCAGCCTCTACTTGCAACTTCTCGTCCTTTTTATAAGTCCCATAAACCCATTCACTTTGTCAGGTGGCTTTTCATTGAAATGAAATGTAAGAAAGTTGGCATATTGCAGAAATAAACATACGATGAGGTTTAAAAGCTCAGTATTCTGTAGTGGGAAAAGAAAATTTAAATTTAAAATTTTCAATGTATCACCAGGTGAGGTGTTTCATTGAGAGGAAACACATCACCTGCTGAAGTTTAACTACAATCATTTTATGCTGAGAAAATGAAGAACTTGTAGCTAATTTTGTCAAACCATGTACATTACGTTTTTGACAAAGTCATGCAATACAATTAATTTTTTTAGTGCTTCAGATACATGGTAATTACTTACAGCTACAACCACATGAAATCTTTGCTCAATATCTCAAAAACGGGCTAAACTATAGCCATTTGTACTTGTGCTGATTAGCTATGGTGGCCACTTTAAACTGTGGTGGCTTCAAAATTTAATCGGTTGTAGACCCTATTTTCCTAGTGTTTTTAATAAAATCCAGTCAGTATTTTATATTTTTTGCTAACAAACACTGTTACCTCCAACATTTAAATCGAAAATCTTGATGAAAAAAATATATTGCAGTGTTAAAGCTGTAGACCGATGGTAATTTGAAAATTTCAACTTTTGGCTCAGCTCTTGCTGCACCACAACAGATCGGTGCAGCACCAATCCGCCTATCAATCTCCCGCTCCATTCTACTCTTATTCATGAACAAGACCCCAAGATACTTAAACTCCTCCACTTAGGGCAGGACCTCTTCCCTGACCTAAAGAAGGCACTCAGATTTGGAGGCACTGATCCTCATCCTGGCCGCTTCACACTCTTCTGCGAACCACTCCAGCGAAAGATGGAGATCGCGATCTGATGAAACCAATAGGATAATATCATCTGCAAAAAGCAGAGACAAAGACCAACCTTGGCTGACTCCAACTTTCGCAGGAAACAAGCCCGACTTACTACCGGCAATATAGACCAAACTCTGACACCGGCTCTTTCAGGGACCTAACAGCCTGTATCAATGGGCTTGTTACCCCATACTCCAGGAGTACCTCCCACCGGACTCCCCGAGGGACACAACCGAACGCCTTCTCCAAGTCCACAAAACACATGTAGACTGACTCCAGGACCCTGCTGAGGGTGTCGAGCTGGTCCACTGTTCCACGACCAGGACGGAAACCACACTGCTCTTCCTAAATCCGAGATTCAACTATCCAACAGACCCTCCTCTCCAGGACCCCTGAATAGAACTTACCAGGGAGGCATTGCGTCAACCAACACAACCCCACAACATCCAGAGCATTAAAGCACTCATCCACCCCCGATGCCCTGCCACCGAGGAACTTTTTAACTAGTATGGTGACTTCAACAATAGAGATTTTAGAGGAATTATTTGTGGCTAGATTGGATCAATTTATCGATGAGCAGAATATTTTAAGTAGTAGTCAATATGGGTTCAGAGCAAATAACTCACTTCAATGGCTCTTATGGAAGTGATGGAACAAATAACTGCTGTTGATTAAAAACAATACTGTGCTTGTATTTATGTTGATTTAAAGAAAGCATTCGACACCACTGTCCACAATATCCTTCTTGCAAAACTACATAAATATGTCATTAGCACTACATTGTATATGTAGTTATCTGAAAGATAGGAAACACTTTGTACAGATAAATGAAGTAAGATCTGAACTCTGTAACATTACATGTGGAGTTCCTCAGGGTTCTGTACTTGGACCAAAGTTATTTATTTTATATGTGAATGATTTGGTAATGTGTCAGGGTTGCTTAAATTAATTTTATTTGCAGATGATGCAGATCTTTTTGTTCGGGCAAAGACATAGAACAGATGTTGGAAATGATGCAAACTGAATTTGTGAAAATACAAAATTGGTTTAAATTTAAGTTAAATTATCATAAAATTTAGATAAAACTAATTATATGATATTCGGTAATAGAAATGGAATTATTGATGTTCTATTTACAGTTGATGATGTTGAGATCTGTAGAGTCAGTGAGGTGAAGTTTCTGGGTGTCATCATTGATGAAAAGCTGACATGAAGACCTCACATGAATTACCTAAGAACAAAAAATGCTAAATCTATTGGAGTACTGTATAAAGTAAGGGAGTTATTTAATGATAGAGCTATGTACATGTTGTATAATGTAATGGTTGTTCCACACTTGATTTATTGTGTTGAAGTCTGGGGGAAAGCATGTAAAACAATTATAAACCCTATTTTTGTTTTACAAAAAAGAGCTGTAAGAATTTAAAATAGAAAACGCTACAGTCACCTATCAAATATATTATTTTATCAGTTGAAATTATTGAAGTTCTGTGAGTTGGTTGATTATAATGTTTTACAGGCTATGTATAAGGCTCACAAATGTACATTACCTTTAAACCACCAATTACATTTTATTTAGAGAGAAAGTTGTTATAATCTGAARGGGGTAGAAATGTTTGTGAAACCTGGATTTCAAACTAGTTTGAGGGAGCGGTGTACTTCCATACAAGGAATAAGACTGTGGAACAATCTGGAGAGTGATGTCAAAAATGCCAGATCAATGTTTATGTTTAATAGAATGGTAAAAGTCACTTTCTTAAAGAAATATGAAACAATATAATGTGTATTCATACGAAAAGTTGTTCAACAAGGATTTGAGATTGTTTTTGTTTAGCTTTTCGTGTTTGTAGATTTTTATTGTTTAAAAATTCAATTTTGGGAAGAAAAAGGCGCAGATACTATAAGATTTTTTTTCTTCTTTCTGCCGGCGTTCATTTTATTTGTGATTTGTATTTTTATTGTATATAAATTTATTTAGTTAATTTTAAAGAAATGAATAAAGTTTGGAAAAAAAATCCGACCCAGGGTCCCCACCGTCTCTGCTTCCTCATGGGAAGACGTCGGTGATATTGAGGAGATCTTCAAAGTATTTGGCCCACCGACCCACAACGTCCCGGGTTGAGTTCAGCAGTGCACCATCCCCATCATAAACAGTGTTGGTTACTTCTCAGACTTTCTAATTAAAGAGGACAAATTTAGAAAAAAATACTGAAGCCTGTAAATAATGGACAAGGCCACGTTGTTCCTTAATCAGCTTGAGATGTTCTGTTAATAGCGGCGGAAGGGTGAAAATATTAGAGCTGTGAAAGGTTTTATTTTATTCTCAAAAACAAGTTTCTTGGTAGTTCAGATACTCTGAGACTGCCACATTTTTAAACATAAAACAATGGTTTCTTTAAAACTTGGCCTGAGGCTGTTCTTCACTTAAAAATCTCAGACACTCAGCTGTGAGCTATGTTAATAATTTTTTCCTAGATATGGAATTTACTGTTTAGTTGAAGCTTAAATACGTATTCAACCTAACTGAAAAAAAGAGGTCATGACTGACTGCACATCCTGCTTTTTATTTCCTCTCATCCTCTCTGTTTGTCTCTTGCAAAATATTAACTAGCTTTATTTACTGCTGTCTTAAATCTCAAATTTGTTTATGTGATCTGTCATATTTGACTCTTAACCTCTGTTTTGATGTTCAGGCACATCAGGATCCACACAGGTGAAAGACCATACAAATGTGATGAATGTGGGAAGAGTTTCACAGTGAAGTCGACTCTGGACTGCCATGTGAAAACACACACAGGTCAGACATTAATTTATTCAAAGATGAGCACAGTAACTATGTAATTAGAGGTAGACCTATTGGTCAGGTGATGAATTAAAAAAAATCTTGGTTGACCTCTAATTTGGCAATAGCTGGTTTTTTTTTTTGTTTTTGTTTTTTTTGACAGGGTTCTTACACAGTCCTGAAATGGGTGATAATTGTTTTTAGTTTTTTCTTGGTCTTGCCAAAAAGAAAATAGAGTATTGAAAAACATTTATGTTTTCACTTTCATTTAGATAAAAATCTAATACTTATTGACTTTGCTGCTGTGCATCTTTCTTTTGGAGTTTTACTGACCTGGCCCAAAAAAAAAGGATGCCACCAACACCATCCAGTGTTGCAAAAATATTTTCACCAAGATCTTGCAATGATGATGGTAGAGTCTGACTGCTGTGCAAAGCCTTCTCCAGCACATCCCAAAGATTTTCACTGGACTCTGTGGAGCCAATCCATGTGTGAAAATGATGTCTCATGTTCCCTGAACCACTCTTTCACAAGTCCAGTGCCATGAATCCTGGCAAATATGGCCGTGCCATCAGGGAAGAAACAATCCATGGATGGAATAACCTGGTCATTCAGTATATTCAGGTAGTCAGCTGACCTCATTCTTTGAGCACAGACTGTTGCTGAACCTAGACCTGACCAACTGCAGCAACTCCACATCATAGACCGTAGTTAGATCCAGATGGTGACTTTTTGTTTTGGCCAGGAAGTGTATGTACAAGACGAAAAAGCTGAAGAGCAACACATTGATTCAGCATGTTGTTCCTGCTACAAATATTCTTGCCAGAAATGAGGAAAAAACAACAACAACCATATTGGTGTGCAATCTGGACCCTGACATAACGTTACACACCAAAAATGGAAGTAAAGGGCTGTATCATTAAACATCTTGAAAGTTCACAGAAGAGACATTTTTACAAGTTTGCATTACTGTTCAACTTTAGCCACAAAACAGATATGAATATGTAATATGAGAAAATGGTAGGTGCTGGACTCCAGCCCACATGGCAGAGTAGAAAGTTCCGACAATACATGAGATGTGATTTTACCAGAGCTTTACTTTTGGGTCAGTGGTTTTTCTTACATTACCACTAACCACATTTATGGTATTTATAATTTCAGGGTGTTTTATACGTTTTCAAATGTCATGTGCCCTCCTTTGTGTTTGACTGAAGTTGTTCACATAGACTTTGCTTGTGAATCCACTTCAGAAATGTTTTAAAATGCAAAAGCCTCAATAGCTTCCAGGAGCTAATTTCAGGACATTTGGGCTGCAAACAGGCTTGGTTAACTAGACAGGCTGTTCTTGTTATTTCAAAGCTGTCTCTTGTTTTCAACAATCTGAGAGTAAAACAGCTGTTCAACTTGTGCAAAACAAATTAAAACAAGTTTTTTCATATTGTGACCTTCTGGTCTCAGTTATGATTAAGAAACAATTCATGTTCAAACATTAAAACCAAAAATATTTATTTATTGTTGCAGGTCAAAAACTGTTCAGCTGTCACATGTGCAACACCTCCTTCTCTACAAAAGGCAGCCTAAAGGTGCACATGCGTCTCCACACCGGCTCCAAGCCCTTCAAATGCCCCTTCTGTGATCTCCGCTTCCGAACTTCGGGTCACCGCAAAACCCACATTCAGTGTCACTTTCGTCCAAATGGTGACAGTCGAAAATCCAAGCGCTCTTCCTCGTCTGCCGGTCAGATCAGGCAGAGTCAGGGCACAGGTACAGGGCAGTCTGTGGCCTCAGGTCAGGGACAGCAGCCGGCTGCTTCTGAGGCTCTTCAGTCTGTGGGCTTGTTACAAACTTCAAACTCTGACCCCAGCATTTATCTACCAGCCAATCAAGTCATGACGGGGCAATTTGACCAGAATTTACTGCAACCAGGACTAGTAGGCCAGGCCATCCTGCCTGCCTCCATGTCAGGTAGGTGTTAAAGAAAACTTCTTAAACATTCAAATACACACCATGAAGAAAATGATTAGCATAGCACTGGAGGAGAGAAACATAAGAACAAAACAATCTGAACTTTGATAATTAGATATTTAGTGTATTACCTTGCATCTAACAAAGTCAGCAAACATTAAGGAAGAAATCATTAAGAAAATGATCTAAGTCTGTAAATCTGAGACTGGCATTTTCTGTTAATTTCTTGTCAGTTTGAGTGAAGTTGCAGCATCAGATTTGTTGCTCAGCTTGGATCAGTTTACAGTATGAGGGAGTTATTGGTCTTGGTCATGAAGGAGGGAATTTGACAATTTTTCTCACATACATAGTTATAACCAAAAAGATTTTACTTTAAGGAAATGACTGAAATTGAAAGCATGAAAATAAGATATTCAGAAATCTAGACTTTGAAGAACTTTTTCATAGGAAATATTGATCAACATTAGCAGAAAAGGCTTCATGTTAGTGGTAATAGTACAGTTTAACCTACTTGTTAACTCTGCTCTGAAATTAAATTTTGTATCAGGTCACATTGAACTAATGGAAGAATAAAACTAATTAACAGCCTTAGTAATCTCCAAATAACACTTCTCTGCTACTGTTTATGTCCCTGAGGTGCTCTTCTTTGCCTTCACCACACTCTGTATGCCCATCTGGACAGAGTTTTCTTGGACCACATTATGATTCAGTTATGCATTAAAATATCACTCCACATCAACAGAGCGCTGCCACCACAAGAATTACACCTGTTGTTACATTTCCCATTTTTTGTCTAAGAGATGTGGTGGCAAAACAATAAATAAAGTCTGGTAATGAAAAAATGGCAACTTGCTTAAAACAAAGAATTTTTAATACAAATTTTAACTGAAAACTGAAACAAAACCTTTAAAAGTTTTTTTGTTTTAGTTAATAAAACTAAAAGAAACCAGACACAAAAGTTCACTCTGAAAGGGAAAACGTAACACTCACATTCAAAGTCTAAGGTTCCAAGAAGTAGCAGCACCAAACTGTCATCATTTTAAACACCTTTACTGGAGACATTACACTTCTATAACCAAAAAGAAAAACACAAAATCTCAATAACTATAAAAAGCTACAGCCACCATGACACAGCCAGATGGATCCACTCATAATGTGAGCAGATTGGAGGAAGCTAAGGTGGATTACTTGCAAGAGAACCTGGCACTGCAAGCTACATAGACAAGTCATACATTCAAAGCAATCATTCATAATGGCACCTAATAATCTGTAAATGGACTGTACTTATATAGCATCTTTCTGCCCAACCAGGATACTCAAAGCCCTTTACAATAGTCTTGAGTCATGTCCTCAATTACCCACCCACACACATATATTCATTTATCTACTATATCGCTCTATAAAGCTAATCAGAATAAATCATTCAATACAGACCAATCAGTGCTTTAGAGATTCTTAACCGTTGAGCCACAACCCATACTTGGGCTGTGATCGCCACCTTGAGGGCCGTAAAAGAAAAATCTGTTTTTCAACTGTGGGCCGTGAGGACCGCAGGATTGCATTGGTTTTCAATAGACCGAATAGACGTATTGTGCCACTTAGATGTTTAACAACTATTTTTAATACAAAAAAGAAGAACCATAGCCAGCTGCTAGAAAAAGTTGGAGAAATAGAAGCTTATGTTAAGTGAAAAGTTGAAGGCAAAAATGGAGAAAACCCTCCAAGAAAACCGAAATTGTACATAAGTATAACGTAGACTTTATCAGATATGGTTAGGCTTGGTACTGGCTATCCAACAAAGCACTGAAACCCTCCAATTTAAAAGAGCATCTAGACTTTTTCACAAACATGAAGAGCGGCTTCAGATCAATAGTTTGCACCTCAAAGATTATGCATGTTCTGGCTGAAATCTTTGGATCAGGGTCACTATTTTGAACTGGGACTTAAGGCGCAGTTGATGCCTGACAGCTGTATCATCATTGCCACTTGGAACACGAACATCACTGATGTTTTTATCATTGGTTTCTTCTTTGGTTCACCATAGTTATGGTATGTACCATTTGAACAAGCCCGTTGTTGTGTTTTGGGAGAAAAAAGTTTAGATTCTGTTAGAGAGAGCCTACTATCTCCTTTTCTTTTACCATCAGCTTAAAAAGCTGCTGACTGTTTTATGACTGTTTTGGAACATTCAGTGGTTTCTTTTTATGTGTGTATTCTCTAACACAGACTATCAGGAAGTTTTGGTACCACAGAAACATATCAATTATCACACTTAGATTTTTTTAACACAAATTGTTAACATTACATCTTCATAGTCATTCTTCAGTTTATGCATCTCAAGTTTAGTCAAAATTAGCTTTTTTATTGATGATTTATCTGAACTTAGCTGTTTACATAATGCAGTAGTCAAAATTTCAGCAACGTTTTCAGCTCACTCACTATATTCCTATACCTGTTCATGTGTGTGTTTGTGTGTGTGTGGTTCAGCTGCAGGAGATCTGACCGTGTCCCTCCCTGATGGCCTGACGACCCTGGATGGGATCCACTTGCAGCTGACACCTGCCAACCTGGTGTGCCCCAATGTCCAGATCTCTGGCATCGATACAGGCAACATCAACAACATCACACTACAGGTGAGGTTACACACACCTCCTGTTGAGGCCTCCAGGGTAATTTTGATCCAAGGGCAGCTGGAGGGTTAAGATAATCTTTTGTGTTTTCAGTTTTGCTCTTGATGAAATGTAAACTTTTGCTTCTGTTTGAAGAATTCCACATTTATGGAATATTTCTCCTCTGTTCTTGCGTGCATTCATCTGTCACTAACTACTGTCTGACCAAGTCGACCAAATCAAAGAAAAACACCCTCGCAGCTTTATGATCGCTGTGCTCAAGTGTAGCTGAGACAATGGCACTCAGTTTATATTTTAGTCCACACAAATTTTTTGCTAACTATATCAGAGAAGTTCAGTTCCTGTTAGGAATGGGTACCGAATTAGACACTTTTTTAAAGTACCAACCGAATTCTGTCAGTACCACTGAGAACCTATTCACGTAATATCAAATGTTTCAGTACCTAAGCGCATCATTGCGACTGTATTGGCGTAAGAGTGGGAGATTTTCCACGCTTGTCCTGAACGCAGCATCGAGCAAGAGCATAATGACGTCAGCAGCCGTTGGCTCAGTAAACAGAGCTCGGTCTGAATGTAGCTTGAAAGCCTCACAGCTCCTGGAGTAAAACTCCCCGAACAGACTGCCTCTGAATTATCTGGTGGATTAATTATCTTGTGAGCACGACGTTCGCTTGCTCAAAGTAAATAAAGTACCACCACTTTTTTTAATTTCATCCACCATTAAACAGAGACCGACAGAGGAAAACAACAGAGGTGCTTCCCGACAGTCCGAACGCGTCTGACCTAAAAAAGCACAATCAGCCAACTTGAAGTGTTGGACGAGTTTTGGATGCTCAAAACATAATACCTTTTATTTGTTTTAACTCAATCCTCTTTTGTTTATTTGATTTAAACTTATTTGCCTTCCATGGACCTCCGTCACACAATTTTTCTAGCAGGGAAATGACATCAATAGAAATACGTGGAGCTGAATTTTAATTTGTGCAATGAGACAAACAATCTTGTTGTTTTCAAGAGTTTTAAGTTACACAACTGATGTTACAATACATAGAGTTGGACGTTGTCTTGATATTTGTTAATTTTATATATTGAGAAATATGTTAAATAAAAAACATAAAAGTTTATTATTAAAAACAAAACAACACACACAAAGTACCGAAAATTGGTACCGTTAAGTACCGGTACAGATTCCCAGGTACCTGATATTGGTACCGAATCGATTCAAATGTCAAAGGTACCCATCCCTAGTTCCTGTTTCACCAGATTTTTTGTCTTTTATTATTTGAGTCATTCAGGTGTCTTTTAATAAATTCCTAGCAGGGCATCTGTTATGATCCAAGAATGAAGGTACTCCGTGGAATGATTGGCTTAGTTTTATTGTAAAAACAGGAACACCGAGAACAACATAGAGCCATCAAACTGTCCCCCTGCTCTCTGCTCCTGCTTCTCCTTCGCTGAGGCAGTTGAGGCCTCATATATACTGTGTAACAAACACTTTTATGTCATCTTAATAAAGCAAGATTTCATCCTAAGAAAATGCTGGGTCAAGGGAAAACACAAAGATAAACACAAGTGATATCTAAGAATGATTGTTGTTAGCAGATCTTGTTCTGGCTATAATCACTCTATCTCCTGATAAACGGCATGTCATGAAAACCTAGCTCATTAAAGTACGTCATGATTTTCTGGCTTAAACCTCCATCCATCCATCCATCCATTTTCTTCCGCCTATCCGGGGTCGGGTCGCGGGGGCAGCAGCTTCAGAAGGGAGGCCCATTTCACAATGCACCCGACCCCTTTGGCCCCTCCTACGGGTGGTGAGTCTGTTGGAAGGGGGACCCACGTCTCCTCTTCGGGCTGAGCCCGGCCGGGCTCCGTGGGTGAAAGCCCGGCCACCAGGTGCTCGCCATCGTGCCCCACCTCCAGGCCTGGCTCCAGAGGGGGGCCCCGGTGACCCGCGTCCGAGCGAGGGAACGCCAGATCCAAAATTGTTGTGCATCATAAGGGGACTTCGGGCTGCGCTTTGTCTGGTTCCTCACCTAGGACCTGTCTGCCATGGGTGACCCTACCAGGGGCATAAAGCCCCAGACAGCATAGCTCCTAGGATCATTGGGACACTCAAACCCCTCCACCACGATAAGGTAGCAGCCCAAGGAGAGGATGCTTAAACCTAAAAGTATTATTTCCATCACAGTATCATTTAACTTTCTTTAACAAATTTTTTCCATCTGACCTACCTTCAGTAAAAGTTTGACTGGTGAAGACAAGCAGTTGTCCTTATGTAACTTTCTACCTCCACAACAGATCTCTTGTTCTTTGAGTCTTTCTACCTGTCTGATCTTAACCAGTTCTACTCACTGTCTTGGTTGAACTAAGTTAAAACATGTGTTTTCAAACTTCCACCAATTAGGAGCTTCCATCAGTCACCAGACATTTCTCAGTTTTAAGGCAATTTACATTTAAAATCTCACAGCTTAGTTTTTACTTGGACAATCTGCTCTAGAGAGGTAAAACTGTAGACCTGCAAAAGCTTAGATTAAATTATCATGACAAAGATTCTGTGATCAGTATTTTTCAAGTGTTGATAAGTAAGAAAGAAAAAAAACAAATGACTTCAACTTAAACATTGAATTCATTTTTTTTCTAAAAGTTCAAAATCTGAATTTCAAAAAGTCTATAAATATATATAAATATGGAAAATAGACAAATTCTCTATGAATCATTGGCTGTACCCACAACATCAGTCCTCTAGTTTATTGTTTTAGCTGTCATTATATAGTTTTTAGCTTTCCTGCTAAAAACCTGGACAGGTATGTGCTCTCAAACAGCTCTATGGCTATTGTTTTTCAGATTTTATGTTTTTTGTACAGTTTGGGTTTTCTTTGTATGATGTTTGAAGCAGGAAGTAAAACCTTATCGACGTAAAAACAAAAAATAAATAAATCACAGCAAATATTTGCACTTAGATATAAAAAGAAAAATGCTTAAAAATTGACGCATTTTAAAATTTGAGTCTATAAAAAGAGTTCTCCACATCACATACTTGAAGAAATCTTTAAGGCAGGGCTATTCAACTGGCAGCCCGCGGGCCACATCCGGCCCGCAAGTGACCAAAGTTCGGCCCGCCAATTGGTTTATTTATCTCTTAAGCCCTGGTTTTCTACTTTAATTACTCTTTCTTTTAGTTAAACATAGACATGTTTAGTATCTACAGAAACATCAGAATCTTGGCTAGAAGCTGGTAAAAACCATTTCTATAAACACTCAAGACAGTTAAAACTACAAGCAGTTAAAGATAAAATGATGAAAGTGAAAATAAGATGGTTTAAAAATTTGCAAGTCAGAGATGTCAAAATATTATTTGTGTCTAATAATTGGAGGCATATGTTCTTTTTGTTTTCGATAATGTTTAATTATCACTACTTTTATAGGGTTCTGTATGTTGTATTCATGATTAAATGCAGCAAAATAAACTAATTCAATGGTAGCATATCTTTGTAATACTTGGTTTAGTTACATAATAACTTTAATTGCTGGATGTTCGACCCCTCAGCTGTTGACTGGCAGTAACTGTGGCCCCCAGAGTAATTTAGTTGAATAGCCCTGCTTTAAGGTCTTTGATGCAGCAGGTGATATGCATTCCTTCAAGAGCTGATTCATTTTTTTATTGCTATTAATAAATTCAATAGTCTTTTTTTTATCTCAGAGGAAACTGAACGTACTCATTAGATTTACATTAAATTATGAACAATGACACAAAACCTTATTGTGAACATTTTACTGTAAAACTTTCTTTCCTTAGTGTGATCCATTTACCACAGTATTCACTCCTGCAGACCAGTTTGTTGTCTCAGTGCTTCAGGGGTACATTGAGTGTTTTTCATCCAATAATATCAGTAGTGAGTGAATTTGAAGCAAACCAAATGAACAACATAGTTTAAAGGAACAATGAAGTTTAGTAGCAGAACGAGATTCAACAGAGCTGTTGCCATGAGTTCTGTTCAGTCAGCTGTGAAAGTAATGAATTTCAATTTTGTTTTTCTGACTTCACAGAAGGAATCTAATCCACACAAATTTTAGAAGTAAAGAAATAAGTCTGGTTAATATTTGTGTTTGTTATTCTTCATGTACATATAATCATAATTAAAATAACATTGCATTATTTGATTAAAATGTTCTAGATCAGGTAATAAATAATTGTTGCTACTTGCTGCCTTCAAACTTCAGTGAAGTTCAGCAACACGTAACAAAATATTCTCATTCATGGTGTTATACTGTAGAGTGATGTTTAAGGTGCAACTTGTGTGGAAGGTATGTGGAAACTCTTTAAACAGTTCTTAAAACTGTACAATAAAAACACTAAGTTAATATTATTAATACCCCGCCAATGTCATAAATGATATCTGTGGCACAGATATTCTGCTAGATGTGCCACAGGCAGGTTATTGAACAGCAAACGTCTCACGTCTCGTGTTTAGCTTTGTGCAACATGATGTAGTGGTGACTAATAAAATCCTTTATGGCAGACAGTGTCTCTAATCAGACTATACATTTGCCTTGGGGGAAAAAACTGTCATGACAGAATCATGATCCGAGGGGGTGGTGTGCAAATGAGTTGATCTCTGGTGTGTGCAAACTGATTCAAACTACACACACACACACACACACACACACACATATATATATACAGAGAAACTGACTGTTAACCATGCTTACGCTACATTTCCTTGGACGCCATGAATGAGAGATAAAGATCGCCAGCATCTGCTGGGTGCCACATACAAACAGCACACACACACACACACACACACACACAC